GGGGGCAGCCGAGCGAGAGGTAACGCGAACAGACGTCGAGCGATCTCGGGAAGAATCGGGCTTCAAGCGCTCAAGAACGGGCAGTCAAACGGAAATACCTGCTATTTATAGTCATCGACACCATTTGCGTCCCGACCAGCATTACACGTTGTTGTGAGACAGTGCGCTTTCGTCATAAAAACGGGTTTCGAGCACAAATTGTCCTAGCTTCACTACCAGGAAAGCTCATGAACCCCAACGAACTGTTGTCGTTCCAGTAAAAATAAGTAAGAATGAAAGGTTAAATGATGACCTGTTCTTCCAAACCCAGGCTCCTTCACAGTTGTTTTTTTTTTACGTTTAGCTCTTTCTGGTCTGTATTTGGTTTTTTGTTTCCGTCGGCGAGTGAATTGAAAATCCACAGGCCTGCGTCTCGCCTAGATTCGACGAGCGAGAAACTCGTATCATGTTTTTTTTTTTTCTTGGGCTGAAACCCCCAGCCGGCAGCGGCCTGAGTGATGTGTTAAATTAAAGCTTCTGGACTGTGGGATTTCTGCAGCGCCCGAAGCTGTGCGTCCCACTCAATGACGGTTTAACAGTTTAACATTTATCGTCGCACAGAATGCAGATGATCTTCCCAGCGTTTACAACAGTGATTGATGCGGCCATTAGGTGTGTCCATGAGCCATTAGCTGAAGTGTGTCCTGCAGAAACTCTTAACTGATTAGTCTAAAATATATAAATAATATATATAATCTCAGGTCTATCACTATAATTAATAATACTACTTAATACAGTTACTGTTGTGTAATAATATCAAAACATGTATTTATAATCCATAACAAATAATATCATTATATATTATGTAGTGTATATATAAATAAATCTCAAAGACAAGAGGACGAGAGATCGGATGAATATTTTGTCGCTTCATGAGAAAAACAAAGCTGTCCGACACAGTTCGTGTGTATTTCCAGGAGAGGAGAGGAGAGAATCACGACAGATCTTTGGAACTGCGGTGTCCTCCGTCTGTCTGGCGTATATGAGTTTGATCTGGATATTGATCAATTGATCAAGCAAGGTTGAGGCCCTGTGACCTTCAGGGTTAGAAGACGAGGCGAGGAAGCGGCACTGCCCCGGACGTCAGGAGACCGACGCTTTTCTCCACCCCGCGCGGTTGGGAAACGCGATGCCGGTTTATTGCACAGCACACGCGGCCCTATCGCCGGATTAACACGCAGCACCGCTATTGCACGGGACGCTCCGATACCCTTTCTAGAGCCCTTTAACTCCTCAGCGTCCAACTGTCGAATTAAACAAATAACGAGTTCAATCAGGTCATTAACGGCTCAAGGCCAAAGATACCTCCAGGTTCTCCGGGAGTATAGCGCCCCCTGCCGAACACACTCTTGAGAGAAGTGTGCTGAAGCCGCACACTTGGCCGTTCAGACAATTCGTGACACATTGCGGCGGCAATACCGTTATAATAGTACAGTGGTGTTGATTGCAAAACCACTCCGTCTAGTCCCTGTCTTAAATGCTAAATTGCACTGTTTCCTCCACGTTTGCTGCTGTAACTAAAAACAGCGTAGGCGCAGTGTTCATGGTCTGAAGGAATGGAGATTAGTGAATAGAAATTTAAAGGGCAGATTTCACACTTCGGTGAGTGAACGGCGGGTCGGAGTTTGGTGTAAAACGGAGTCGCCCGTCCTCCAGTTACAAATCGGTATAATGTGTTAGAAATGCCGCAGATGATAAAATAAGGGACGGTACTCTATCACTGTAGCTCAATTTTCGCCGTCCTCTGTAACTAACGACTGTCTTCACTTCTCTATTAAAATCGACAAGAAACTGCGTTGTGCCGGAGGAGGGGTATCCTTCACGAGCTCCTAATTTGCTGTATTAATATGTTCTTTAGAGTCATATCGCTTCTATTGACCTTTTTTTGGGGGGGGCAGAGGCCGGTTAACCGTCTTGATAGAGCACTGCGAGGAGCTGAGGAAAAAGTCCTTCAAGGTCCCTACGGGAGGAAAGCGGGAGACGCGGAGGTTGTTATTAGTCCGTCCTGAGAAGTCTTTCCAGCTGTCGTCAATTAGGCGAAGCGGGGGGCTGGGAAATATGAAGCTAATTAGACTAGTTAATTAAAAAAGAAAAACGAAACACAAAAGAAGGCAGCCGTCTCCCAGCAGCTCACAAATGCCGCGTAGGCTCAGAAAAAGCCCTTTGTGAAAAAAAAAATGTGACGAGTTGGTAATTAGCGATATTAATACCTCGGGTCCTCGTTTTACAGTAAACCAGATCTATTAGCGCCGATAACGCTATAAGAGCTATGGGCGCGTTTGATTGTTTCTAAGAGCGTGGGCCTATTAAATTAAATTTGGTGGGGGGGTGTTGAGACACATCAGGCCTGTTTGCCTCATTTTCACTCCTCCACCTCCCCTCCCCGCTAATTCATTACTGCTTTGCGACGACGCCTGACTGCCGTGTTGACGTTTTTCAGCAGGTGAAAAGTATTGCATACATCTCTCTCGGAGCGCTCAGCCCTCCCGAGCCGGCAAGTGGTGCTCAGTTCTGGTCCTGAAGGAGCGACGTGTCTTCCGGGCTCTGCAGCAACCGCTTCGCCGATTCCAGGCTGACTGAACTCGATTTTCAGTGTGAATCTCACTTTAAAAAAAAACAAAAAAAAATTAAAATTGCTTTCGGCTCAGGGAAAGTGAACTGGGCAGTGTGTGTGTGTGTGTGCGCGCGCACACGGGTCATGACACCATGACGTGGAGCTGCGCGCATTAAAAATTCAATTCCCCAAAGAAATAAGATGATAATAAAACAAACACGGTCGTCAATTGAAAAATGCTAAATCGACCACATGAGACGGGCTGCGAGAGGCCCAACTTGGTTGTGTGCGTTATTACTGCTACTCGATCATCGATATCTGTGCTCTTGTAGTCTCGTACCTCGCTGCTCCTGCTCGCTCGACACTCAGTCTCTATGACCGGGCTCGTCGAATCGCTGTCCCGGTCTTTCGGATCTCTGTGCTTCCACGAGGATGACTATATTAACAAAAATAATTTCAGGTTTACAGTTTAGTGCGCACGAGTTTTTGTCACTGGGGAAAAGGTTTTGCGCACACAGGCCATTAAGAATTAGAGGGAACACTGGAACTGCGATATTGAATTGATCTCAACCCTGCATTAAGTGGTGATTTTCAGAGTTGCCCTTATTCAGGTGTCTGAGCTGGGATATGACCCAGCGTGGGTGTGTCTCATACCTGTGTCTGATCATCATAAACTGGTCATGGGCTAACAGCTGTTTAGAGCTGGAGAGAAATAAGGGGGGGGATTCCTAATTAGCAAGTTAGGAAGTGACTGGGGCATCACGGTGGCACTGTGGCCTTGCAGGACTGGGGCCCTGGGGTCAACTTCCCAGCCTGAGGTGCTGTCTGTGTGGAGTTTGCATGTTCTCCCCAAGCTTGCATGGGTTTCTCCAGGTGCGCTCGTGTTCCCCACAGTCCACAATAATGCTGATGGGTTCATTGGCTGGCCTCTGGGAAAACTGACCTGTGTTTCTGTGTGTCTGCCTTATGATGGACTGGCGTCCCACCTTGCGCCTGTTGCTTGCTGGATAACCCTGCAGTTAGAAAATGGATGGAGTACAGACTGCATGAAGCTCGGTGTGCCGGAGTTAGGGTCTTTTTAAAACCAAGGCCTTTAACAAGCAAGCAGATCCAGTGCAGACACTGATGAGTGCAGGTGTTAAGGGCTCAGCAGGACACAACCTAGCAGATTCAGGGTCCTGCAGGACCAGGACTGCAAATACCTTTTCTTTTTCTTTTTTTGAGGCTTCAGTATCGCGGCTTTTATGCATCAAGTTTAACTAGAGGAAATAAACATCAGTTTCTGAGACGACTCTTCTAAAACTGAAGGTAACTTTGCGGAACGGAAGAGAGTTTGCAACGATTTCATTTAAAAAGGGCAAGACTGTAAAAGCGTCTTTTCACAGAGTAAAATCTGAGCACCATTCACCGTTAGCAATTGGAAACGTTCCAAGCTGTTAAGTCCTTCCGAGACTACATCAGAGTCTCATTTTTCTTTAGTGTAGTTTTGGCAGACTCGCTGGAGTTTATGCAGAATAAGCTTTGTATCCAAGCAAGAAAGGAAAGGAAGTTAAGTGAAGGCGTTTCAGCATCATGTTTCACTCTTTTTAACAGTAAATGATCTGGTTAAAGAATTGGTGTGCTTTTATTACACTGTCTGATACTGTTTTTCCTCTCTTACAGCTGGCTGGCCTGTCTCCCTGTCCCCCCTCCCTCAATCCCCCAGCCCTAGTAGTCTGTCGCCCAGTCCAGGGTGCTCTTCTGGGGGCACAGGCAGGAAACTGTGGCCCCAGGCTCCTAGGAGATGAGCAGCTATAAAGGCCGCATGGGGCAAGATGTGGAAAACCAGGGCAACAATTTGCCCAAACAGCGCTGGGATGCCCCCAAGGACAAGGTGGTACCCTCTTTTAATATTCACGTTGTCTTCCAGTACCACCCTCTCCCCATCTTTTCCACTTTTTACTATACTTAACTCCACTTGACAAGTAGGGGGCTTTTCTGCCAAACTAATACTGTCTCAAACCCACCCCACTAAGACTGCTGTCAGCCAGCTCAGAGAAGTGTTGCGATCAGGAATTTCTGAGATCCTGGCTCACAATCTGCCCTCTCAGTGCAGTGCAAACCCGCAGCAGAAAGAAAACTAGTAATAATAATAATAATAATTGCTTACACTTATATAGCAGTTTCGGACACTCCACCCAAAGCTCTTCACAGGTAATGGGGATCCCCTCCACCACCACCAATGTGCAGCCCCACCTGGATGATGCGACAGCAGCCATAGTGCGCCAGTACTCTCCCCACACATCAGCTATCAGTGGGGAGGAGAGCAGAGTGATGAAGCCAGTTCATAGAGGGGGATTATTAGGAGGCCATGATTGGTAAGGGCCAATGGGAAATTTGGCCAGTACACTGGGGTTACACCCCTACTCTTTTCGAGAAACGCCCTGGGACTTTTAATGACCACAGACAGTCACAACCTCGGTTTTACGTCTCATCCAAAGGACAGCGCCTGTTTACAGTCTAGTGTCCCCGTCACTATCCTGGGGCATTAGGACCCACATGGACCGCAGGGTGAGCGCCCCCTACTGGCCCCACTAACACCTCTTCCAGCAGCAACCTTAGTTTTCCCCAGGAGTCTCCCATCCAGGTACTGACCAGGCTCACACTGCTGGGCTCCAGTGGGGCTGCCAGGTGAGAGTTGGCAGGTCCCCTTGGCCAGCACAGGTGCCACGTCACTAACGGCCACCGTCGTCGTTTCAGGTGCCCACGGACCGCACGCTGGTGGTGGGCGCCGGGGAGCCGGGCAAGAAGCGCCGCCAGCGCTATGTGGAGAAGGACGGGAAGTGCAACGTGCACCACGGCAACGTGCGCGAGACGTACCGCTACCTGAGCGACATCTTCACCACCCTGGTGGACCTGAAGTGGCGCTTCAACCTGCTGGTCTTCACCATGGTCTACACCACCACCTGGATCTTCTTCGGCTTCATCTGGTGGCTCATCGCCTACATCCGGGGGGACCTGGAGCACGCCGAGGACCGCGACTGGACCCCCTGCGTCAACAACCTCAACGGCTTCGTCTCGGCCTTCCTCTTCTCCATCGAGACCGAGACCACCATCGGCTACGGCTACAGGGTCATCACGGACAAGTGCCCCGAGGGCATCGTCCTGCTCCTGGTGCAGGCCATCCTGGGCTCCATCGTCAACGCCTTCATGGTGGGCTGCATGTTCGTGAAGATCTCGCAGCCCAAGAAGCGGGCCGAGACCCTCATGTTCTCCCACAAGGCCGTCATCTCGCTGCGGGACGGCCGGCTGTGCCTGATGTTCCGCGTGGGGGACCTGCGCAACTCCCACATCGTGGAGGCCTCCATCCGGGCCAAGCTCATCAAGTCCAAGCAGACCAAGGAAGGGGAGTTCATCCCCCTCAACCAGACGGACATCAACGTGGGCTTCGACACGGGCGACGACCGCCTCTTCCTGGTCTCGCCCCTCATCATCTCCCACGAGTTCAACGAGCACAGCCCCTTCTGGGAGATCTCCCAGGCCCAGCTGGCCAAGGAGGAGTTCGAGATCGTGGTCATCCTGGAGGGCATGGTGGAGGCCACCGGTAAGCGAAGCCGCCCGGGGGAAAACCCACACCGGAGGCAGCATACAAACGCCACACAGAGAGCAGCCCAGGGCTAGAATCGAACCCGGGGCCCGCAATGCTAACCCCTGTGCCACTGTGCCACCCTAACGCAAAAAAAAATAATCAAAAAATAAAAATGATCTTAACAAGAACCTCTAATCGCCTGCTCTCATGAAAAGGGCCATAGAGTCTCTTTATGGTCAAGTAGTCCGGGCCAAAGTTTAACAAGACCTCCTAAAACACTGTGCGTCCTGTGGGCACACTAATCTATAGGAAAGAGCGCCACCTACTGGTCCACCAAACCATGTGCAATTGCAGCCAGAAGTTTTTAGAGGTCTCCCACTGCTTGGCTAGTGAGACCTGGTCACAAAGGGGCAATACAGCGGACAGATTAGCCTTGTGCAGCCTATACAACACATGAGCTCATTCACTGTAGCAGCACACCAGCCTCGAGCTGCTCTCCCACTGCAGGACAAGAGAGCACGGCCTTCTGGTTGCAAGACTGGAGGGGGGCTCGTTGCATCGTGTTGATAACAATGGGCAATTCCAAGGAGAGGCATTAACAGGGATGTGACTGGAAAACGTAAATGAAGCTCTGTGTGAATTATGAGGTAATTTCTAGCTGCCTATGAGCACACAGCAGGCAGATAGAGATGGCCTCAGCTCGCAGTCTGCTGGGGATTTGAACATTGGAAAAATGGTCATTGATCCTCAATCCCAGATATCGAAATAGGATTTGTTTTGTCTCTTTATGAAGATGATTACTTCTCTTTCCTCTCTGAGAAAACAGATTGGGGAAGGGTGGATAACTGGGTTTAAGGAAAGCAACAAGAAGATCTGGAGATATAAAAAAAGTACAGATGTAGTTTTGACATCCCTTCTGATCTCCAGAAGGGAAGCTTATCACAGATTGCAATGGTATCAAAACTGACAGTCAGACGGAATAGCTGTCACCAGCTTTCTGTGTGATCTAAGCTTAGTTCGCATTTATAGAGCTTTTATGCTCCAGCTGTTTGTATCACGATGAAGAGAGAAACATAATCTAGATGCTACATATTCTAGATTTCACTCAAAAAGCAAGTGAAGCCCTTGTGTGGGGGTTGTGAAAGGTATAATACTTCATTATGCATTTCTGCCATGCAATTTACTTTCCATCGCTTTGCAGTTTTTGCAAGAAGTAAAATTAAATGCTGTGCTAAATGTGTGTCTGGATGAGCGGCAACTTATTCTGCTGGGCGAAGATGACTTTTCTGGTCTTTAAGAAGGTTTGTTCCGTTTCCTCTTCACCCTCAGTTAAATACAGGAACAGTATTCCTTGGCTGACATATACGGGGGTGTTTATGTATCTGTCCTCTTTTGGTCCTGAACTCTGAGACTTCAACAGGGGGTGGCAGTGTCCAGCTGATCACAGAGTGGGCAGGCAGAGCTAAGGAGCGGAAGCTAATTAAAAAAAGAGTCTGTGTGCGGTTGATCAGGACGGGGCCTTCTTCCTCTGTCGAGTAATAATCCACTGGAGACCCTTGTGCTGAGCAGAAGAGGAGTTTATTGTATAGAAAGCAGGTAGTTATAATTGGCCTTCTACACAAACTAATTATTTGGGATTCTCAAAACAAGCATTCTTTGTGTCCGCAGGCCCCTAGTCTTATCAGAAGCAGATACCGAAATGTCGACGCTGGCGTTGTGCTGCCAGCAAAAGAGAAAGACTTTTTTACCCCTCACCTTGATCTCCCTCTCTGCCCCCCTGACCCTGGCCCGGTTCGGCCCGGTTCAGCACTCCTCACAATCTCGCACGTGACCTCCAGCTGTGTGGTCATCGATGGGCTTCCAGGCAAACACTGCGTCGTTCGGTAGTGGCGATTGAACAGTTCGCTTCAGCAGGGCTTGGAGGCCTTGATTAAAGGAACACAGAGGATACGATGAGAAAAAACACACCTGACCTCGATAGGAAAACTGGTCATTCTGTGCCGCTTAAAGTAAAAATACCCCCACGAAACTGCCCTGCACCCACTGCTGTCACGCTATGACACGCTGACACATGATTCTCAGTGTGAGGAGCCCCACAGCACAGCAGCTCACGCTGACTGACAGGACGTGGCTGGGGAGAACGCAATTCAACGCTACTCCAGCTTGAAAAGCGTTCAGGGACTCATCCCCGTCTGCGGCTGACAGGCTTTCCCGTCCAAATCCCCGTTGCATCCCGCGATGAGCTGACAGGAAGTCAGCAGCCAGAAGACGGGTCTGAGGAGAGCCACGCGGGACCCGTGCGGAGATCGTGACCGCTTACCAGAACAGCGCGGCGGCTGCTGTCGTCTCTGAAGCACCGGGGTCTTTCCAGAACTAGGCTGCGTGAGATCCTGAGGTCGGCTCGCTCCTCGCCTGCGAGCAGGCTGAACTGGGTGGAATAATCTCCTCTCGCCCGTGACCGCTCTCTTGAAAACATGACGTCGGACCGCAGTAGTAGACGATACAGTAGGTTGCACACGGGCCACGCAGAGCAGCTCAGAAGTCCGTAAATATTAAAAACAGCAGGAGAAAGAGTACAGTACGTGTAGTTACTACAGTACTACACGTGCTGAATTGTAGTACAGTACGTGTAGTTACTACAGTACTATCCGTACTGAATTGTAGTACAGTGCGTGTAGTTACCATACAGTCTGCATGGGGTGTTTCAGAGGACCAAGGTTCAGATTCCAGTGTAACGCCTTTGCATTAGCTGAGAAACTCTCCAATTCTTTCAAAAACTCGGGCCGAATTCTTTTTAAAAAAATCCCAGTTCCTAATCATATTCAACCACGCCTTGTTTTCTAACCTTCGGGTCTCATTAAGTCTCAGGGATGTTCGCAAACAGAAATACTTAGTGAATGACAAGTCCCGACGATCCCCTGTTAAGATGGGGACAAACATCACGAGCAGGGAGAAATCCCCCGGACTGTGGGCCTGGAAGGCACAATGTGCTCTGTAAATATCTGCTCTAGGGGCTCTGAGCTGGGCTTATGAAGCGGGATGCTCTAACAAGGGAAGATAAATAATTAAATTGCCAGCAGGCATGAGTGCTATCCAACCCCTAATCCCTGTGCGGCATGTTTCTAATACCAGAGAACTGGTAGTATTGATCTGATGCGTTAGCCAGACAACTCCAGGGACATGAGTGGATAATAGATCTGGCTGATCGGACAGATCGGACACCTGATCGGCAGCCCATCGGTTCGGCTGCTCATTACGAACCCACGCAGCTGCTTCTAATTAGAGCCCCGCGCACCCCCTCCCAGTGGGTCGTCCTTACGGGGTCCTTACAGTGACCGATGCTGCAGTGATAGAAACTGTCGCACGTCTTAAAGGGGCATCTTAACAATCAGTCATGGAAAGGTACCACATGAAGCCTCCTGTTCGGTGGATTCTTGGAGTGCTCCTTCTCGGCTGATGTTGTTTTTGGGCTCCAAGGCCGACTCAAACCATCTCTGACTTGTGCCGCCTGTCGATTGAACCTCTTGCTCCTTTGCTCTATGGAGTGGTGGTCTCGGAAATTTCAGGGTGCAGGGGGCAACTGGCAGTGGGCTGGAGCGGCTGACATCATCCTGAGCAGTCAGTGTCTCCAGGCAGAAACCGCTCGAAGTGAGAAGTGGGGGACACATATTACAGTCGCACAGCACTCTGAAGCCCGCAGGTGTCACTGGCTTCCTTCCTCCCTTCCTTCCACTTGACCCTTGAATAATCCTTTCAAAGTGGCCCAAGCAGAGACACAGAAATTAAACGACCCAACGTAACACTGGATTTCAAACATTACTGCTAAGAAACTGAAATTTCGGTCCATTTAAATATGCTAATTCCATATCGTGTTCAACGGTCTTACTTTTCTCTTTGCTTTGGTTAATATCTCGTGGAAATGATTTGCAGAAACACGGAGGCGAAAAGAAACACTCCTCGTGTGATCCATGAATAGAAATCAGGTTCACAACAAACAGCCAAATGCCCTTTCCTGTCAGCGCAGGGGGGGAGACCTCACTGCACGAGGGAGCTGTTGGGAGGTGTTCTGCGCTCTGACAGCAGGTCTGCCTCGAGGGTCAGATCATCTTCACAGCGCTTAAAGCTCCTGAGAAATTGCATTCCTGTTAATTTGGAATCAAAGTAATTGCATGCCAACGCCTGTCATCCCCAGTACTCCCATCACCCATACAGACAGAGCAGCTACAAGCTGTGTTCTCAGCGTTAATCAAGGATTACGAGACACGCATTCACCGCCACTGTGCTAAAACCACATTTCTGTCATGGCCTGCTCACTGCTGTATGTATGGAGGCCTCTGTATGGTTTGTGAAAGGAGAACTGGAACCCTGTGTCTTTGATTAATTCAATAGAACACATTAACTAAGCCGTGAAACACGGACTGTTTAAGCAAAACGTTTCCATTCTCCTTAATTGAAAGTTAGCTGATTGAAAAGATTATCAAAACTCGACCACCCAACATAAAACTAGATCTCAACCCCTTTCTGCTAAGAACTGTCATGTAGGTCCATTTAAATATGCTAATTCCATATAACACTCAACGGTATTACATGGAGTCTGTTAGCACTTAAGAATCAGGTTAGGAGCAAGAGGCAGGCCACTGGACTTGGCATGTTAATTTGGCTGCCGGTCGCTAATCTGATACTTCCCGGTACCACGGTTTTGAAGAGACATGGTTTGTCAGAGTAAATGATTAAACTGAGCGCTTTGTCCTCAGAATGTCTTGACGCTCAGGAAACATCTCAAACCAAGCCGATGTCACATACCCTCCTCTTGCTGCTCGGACGGATTGAACAGTGGTCTGGTGCATTTGCAGCAGGGTAGAACTATTGGGTGCTGACCCTTGACCTTTGACCACCCACCCACCTCTGACCTTTGACCTCTTGCTCGTTTTTGCCGGCAGGGATGACGTGCCAGGCGCGCAGCTCCTACCTGGACTCGGAGGTCATGTGGGGTCAGCGCTTCATGCCGGTGCTGACCCTTGAGGAGGGCTTCTACGAGGTGGACTATGACACCTTCCACAACACCTACGACACCCCCACCCCCTCCTGCTCGGCCAAGGAGCTGGCGGAGCTGGCCAAGAAGGGGGAGGCCATCCCCCTGCCCCCGGCCGACCCCCCCAAGCTGGCCACTGGGCCGGGCAGCGACACGGAGCTGCCGGAGGGACCGGGGACGAGGGCCGGGGAAGAGGAAGAGGGAGGCGGAGGAGAGGAGGAGGAGGTGTTCAGGAGGGACTCGGAGGAGGGGAGAGGGGAGGCGCAAAATGTCACCAACGGGGATGTCAACAAAATGGAGAATGGAGAGTAACCCCCCCCCCCCCCCCCCCCCCCCCAGCAAAAAGCAAAAAAGGCAGTGACTCCTGCCGTGCGCACGAAGGGCCGCGCTCTGAAGGGAAGAGGCACTCTGCAGAACTTGCTTCTGAGACGACTGTGTCCTTCTTTTATTTCTCCTTTGCCTTAAGGTTTGAGCGTGACACACGTTCACCCTTTCGCAAAATC